TCTTGAGTTAATACTACAAGAGTTAAACTTTCAAGTGAAAAAAGGACATACAACCTGCCTGGATCTCATTACATTTCACTCTGCAGGAGACAACTGATAAGAAAATTCTCCCAACCCTACCAGCCAACATTGTGTATCCAATGACTGCTTAACAACAGAGGTGATGAGGGCACCAGCTTTCCTAAAGGAGGTACACTCACCATAGTATTCCAGGGATGTCTGCCTAGAATATTAAATGTGGAAGGACCAGACCACAGGCTTCCATCCAAACTGACAGAAAGAGACTGGCTAAAGAGTAGAGCAAGTGTCCATCCCAGCTGGACAGGAGTTCTTCTAAGAGAAGCACTGTGTGTGCAATAAGAAGTGGCAAACTCCAATGAAGCACATATAATCCTGTATTAAAACACAGGGCAGTGAAAATTATTATAATTAACATATATATGATTAAAGTCATCCTTGACACATACTACTTGGGAAATTATTTTCTTATTATAGTCTTCCCATGCTCAATGTTGCCTTGTCAGAGAAACTGTATCTATCCAAAATAGACTGTTTAACCCTACTGTCATCCTGTTCTGAGCATTCCCTAATCCCGCTACATTTTTTGCTTTATGGATTTATACCCTGTATACTCTTATTCTCTCTCTCCCCTAACTAGAAAATTATCTTCATCAAGACAAGGACTTTTTTTGTGTCTATACCAATTCTCAATGCTAAAACAGCTTCTGGAATATAGTGGACATTTAATAAATATGAATCAAATAAATCAATCATTTTGACACTTTATAAAACTTATGACCTTCACAGTTTATTACTAGACAGTAAAGATCTTTTAAATCATGTCTTTTATTACAAAATGACTAATATTCTTAAAAGATCAATATTGCTAAAGAGTGGAGAAAAATAAATTTAACACATAATCCTTATCTCGCAAATGAGAAAACTGAATTTGAAAGACAGTAAGTTAAAAAAGTAACTCAAGGCTGATTCTGGGTCTTCTTCCTCATTTGATATTGTTTCCTGCAATAATATCTCTGTGTCCCAGGCGTTTGTGGCGATGAGAGTCCCACTTGTGTTTTTATTTTAGTTCCTTTAAATTTATTTCCAGTAACAACCGTATCTCAACTCTTATGTGTTTCTTTTGTTTTTCTTAATAATACATTAAAAGGCAGCATATACAACGAACTCCCATATACACACTAGTCATGTGTTTTTAAAAATGTTAGAAAGGAAAATGCACATAAAATTGAAGTCCCATTTGTTCCTCTCCCCAGTTCCACTACCATCTTCCTTCCCAATGTAAGCAAAATGAGGCTGAACCTGGTGCGTAGCTTCTAGTCGGCTTGTTATACTTTTATATCTACACATATCCATTAAAAAATCAGTACTATTTTATGTTTTTAATGCTATGAGTAGTATAATGTACATACCTGGTTTCCTATCACTCTATGTTTTGTTTTTTGATATTACATATTTGATATATACAGAAGGGTAATGCATTTTTATCAATATGTATTACTTCATCCTACGATGGAATTATTTATTTTTCTTGTGTATCCCTCCATAAGTGAATGTCTCCTTTCAATTTACTTCCCTTGGTCAGTTCATTTTATGCACCCGTTATTTCTGTGGCAGACACTGCTGATTGTGTAGCCCAAAACCCATTCCAAATCCTTTTTTTCTTTTTCTTCCCTCCACCACAGAGTCTGAGAAAGCAAAACTTTCCTTTTCTCTGGCTTTCCTGTATCCAGGGGAGGCCATGTGACACTAGGCTGCCACTCTACGCATCGGCAGCTATCTGCAGAGTGGACCCTATGGAAAAGTTTTTGCTTTTCTGAGAAACAGGTTAAAGAACCAAGTGTGACTATCCTCCATTATCTCCATCCTCCTTGTGTAAATGGGCCCACTGCCTGGAGCTCTGGCAGGTATCTTGAAACCAGGAGGGAAAACCAAAAAATAAAACCAAAAAAAACCCCAAAAACCAAAAATAAAAAACTGCACAGATGCTGGCTTTGATTTCTGAGCTGATGCAACCATGCCATCATTTATGCATGCATAAATCTGTGCTAGTCTTGTTGGTGAGAAAATTCAACCACTACCATTAGTTATGTTTCTGTATACTTGCAGCCAAATACACTATTAACCTCTACCCATTTCTTCACTGTTATATTTATTTCCATTCCATGATCTTCTTTCCTTCATTTCAAGAGATCACTCTTTTAAACTCTGCCCCTTCCTCCTTCTGAAAATGTATGTTCTACTTCCCATTATTTCATAGCCTGACAAGCAAAATTCTCACCACACATAGATCTCTAGAGGAAGGGGTAAGGGAGTGCTGGCTATTTTTAATAGCACCATAATCATGGTAAGCCTTATTGAAAAGTGAGCAAAACCTGAAGATAACTGATCATATTGAAATCCACAGCTTATTTTCTCAGAAGATATTGTGATACTCTTAAAGATACTTCACCTACAGGTGAAGGCAGTCCAATCTTTAGCCAAACCACATTTATTCAGACACTAGTAAGTGAGAGAACAAGAGCTGGAGAGAAGGAGGAGCCTTACAGAAGAGTGGAAACGGGACCCTCCTTGCAGAGTTCACAGCCCAGGAGACAGGGAGAGAGGCAGCCCCACGACCTTGCAACACGCTGGGTATGATACAGAGGAATGCAGGTCCTGTGACTTTGGGGAGGAGGAAGGCTGGAGGCTGCCTGGGACAATCACTGAACACTTCCCTGCAGGTTTAACCCTTGAGTTGACATTTAACGATGAGCAGAAAATCGAGAAGCAGACAAGGGCACTCCAGAGAAAAAGGAAGGCAGGAGCAAAGACAAGAAAAAAGGCAATTTTAAGCAATGGGTCATCATTTGTCATGAGCAAAGCCTCAGTGTGAGCCACAATGTAACAGAAGACACAGGCTGTGCTGGTTGACAAGGCACAGCTTGATGGGGAAGTTCAGATCCAATTTTATAGGCACCAATAAATGAAGAATCTTAAGCATTAAGAAAAGCATCAAATGGCCTCCCCGAAGTATTTTTAAAATGTGTTCAGATATACAAAAAGTAAAATGTATATATTTAATATAATGTCTTTAGACGTGGAAGAACTTGTTTAATTTCTAAAGTACTAAGTGCATAGTCCAGCTTCAACAATTCAATTTGTAAACCATCCTGCTTAGCCCCCAGATGGAGCCATCCGGATCACTATGAGGAATCGAGGCCCTGGCTCCTCTTTTGCACGTGTGATTAATTGGAGGCCCTAAGCCAGAGAGGCCCTGCCCAGCCCCTTTCTCCTGGTTCTCACAGCACCAGTGCTCCACTTCCTGTTTACAATCCTCGGCTTCTTTTCTTTTCCCTCTATCCTCACAGCGATGATATTCGGAACACATCTGAAAACAAAAGGTTGGGCGAGAATTCCAACAGGTGTAATTAATGTCAAGTGCTCCTGCAAGTGGCATTGCTCTCCCGCTGCCTCCTCCACCTGCTGCCTTTCATGGCTGCCTTCCTAACGCTGCGTCCATCTGTTGAAAATGTGCATCCAGAATTCATCATTTTACAGCCTGAGAGGCACCTGAACCCTCTTGTCCTCTTCTTAAGTGAGCCCTCAGAGAGTCACTTTATAGGCACAATTAGTTAAGTGTTGTGATGCCATGGAGATTGAGCACACCCGTTCCTCGTGGCACTTTCAGTAACTCGAGGTGGTTTGTTCATATTCAGAGAGTTGGCTCAATAAAAAAGAACAAAAGAGTCTCAATCCTATAATTTGCTATTTTGCTTATAAGTAGAAAGTATATGCTAGGAACTAATATTGTCTACAAATACATATATGTCTGTATGTCTATGTGTATTATGTATGTACGTGTGTGTGTGTATACATACAGGCACATTGTCAGCATGTTTAACACGGGTGATGGGCCACGTTAAACTCCTGTGCTCCACCAAGACCTTTAGATGGAAGGGAAAAGCCAGTTAGGATTCTCCCAGGCCCATTTCTGACCAAGTGGACTTCCAACATGAATAAGGACGCTAAAAGCTGAAATTACCAATAGGACAAGGCAACAAAAAATAAAATAGAGAGTAGTAGAGTAAAAAAGGGTAACTTTGAAGTTTCTTACATGCACAAATGGTTTTTGCACCCTGTCCCACCCAGTGTTTAGCACGTTACTAGCTGGCTGCCCAGTGATCTCAGCTAGGTGTCCTGAAGAGAAGAATCAGAGAAACTAATTATATTCACAACTGACTATAATTTAATGTGTTCTATCCCTTGAAAAGTATTTTCTATTTCAGAGAAAACCCTCAGAGTTTCAATGGCTTAAAATACACACGGGTGCAACACTCACACACACAAAGTATTTCTGAGGGTGGAGCTGGAGCTCACAGCATTGGTAGATAAGGCAGTCATGGGAGGGAAAGGATGAGGAAGGTACCCCAGTGCTTCACAAAACACATAGGAGAAATGTTGCCTATTCCCGTTACACATAAGAGCAGCCTGTGTTTACTTTTCACTGGACAAGTACTTCGGGGGTCTTGGTGGAAGGGAACATAAGTATTGATTTTCCTGTAATAATCATCCCTGAAAGTCAGAGGATTTTTTTTTATTCTTTTGGACTGGAAGTGTTTTTATCAGATTTATACAATCTATGTCCTTAATATGTTAATAGTTAAAGCATAAAATAATAATCCTATTTCAGGTTTTCAAATTTAATAAGACCTAGAACCCTACTTATGGTTTTCACTGAAGTATTCCTAACACCCAGCCCCTGGCACATGATAGGTGATCAGTAAATATTTATTGAGTGAGAAATAACCTTCTGTGATAAGCACTACGATCAGTATTTTAAATACAATCTTGAGACTCAAAATTAAGTGATTTGCTCAACTATGTTTGGTGTTTTTGCTACAGGAACAAGGAGCTGCAGCATCTTGCTTCTTTGGCATCACTAGCTGCCCCTAGACTTCTTCCTAGAAAAATCCACTGTCTGTAAACTCTCCTGCTTGGAGAGCTCGGTCAGACTCAGCTTCAATCCAGATAACAAACTACTGACCCCAAAGTGTGTCCATGCATCGTGCCACCTGCTGATGGATTACAGAGACAATCCCCTGGCCCATCAAGTATGAAGTACAACCCTATGAACAGACACCTTGTCAGTGAAGCAATTTACCACATTAAAAATAACTGCAGTTGTCTCCTACACATCACCTAGGTCCCTTCCTAAAAGCAGCAGAGGGAAATCTTGGTTAGAATGAAAGTTCCTGTCTTCTGGGGGAAAGAGATTGAATAAATGTGGAGGGGAAGAGGACAACTAGTCAGAAGATGATGAGCAACTGAGCTTCAGATAATGAGAAAGAAGAGGGTTTGCCTGCGTTCTAAGGATTCTCCCAACCAGAGTTCCCTGGGTCAGGCTGATAAAAGGGCATTAACCAAAGAGAAGCCTCCTGAAATCGCCACCATTGCCCTGGAAACTCCAGCCAGCCACAGGATCTAGAATCATCACCACTGATATTCAAGCTTTGACCAAAACCATAGCCAAGATCCGGAAGGGGTACTTTTAGCAGCCAGCCCTTCCTTGAGAACTACAAGCCAATTAGCTTCCTCGGGCTTGCCTACACTTAGTTTATTAATCTCCCAAGTGTGGGTGATAACATTTTAAGCATTTTGGCATTTTAAGTATGTTTTGAGCCCCCTAATTAATTAGAGTGTGTTTTATTGTACACCAATAATGCAAGACAAAGTTTAAGAATCGATTCAGTAAAAGATGCCAAAACAAATTACTATGTGAATTCAAAGGAGGAAGAGCTCACATCTGATTGGAGAAAAGAGGAAATGAATCGCGGACAAAGCGGCCCTTGAAATCTGCCTCAAAAGCCAAATAGTATTCCGACAGACAGAAATGAAGAGATAATTCCAAGAACAGGCAACAAAATGAACAAAGGCACCAAGGTAGCTATTGTGAGGGATCTGGGAAATTAAGCAGTACTTTAGTTTTACCGGATAACAGGATATGAGTAGGGGAATGAAGCAGGTGGGGGGTTAAAGGAATGAATACTGATTACCAACAATCTTGAATACTCTGATAAGGACTAGGAGCCAAATGCTGGCAGAACTGGGAAACAACAGAGGGTTCGGACCATGGGCTCAGGGTAAGGGTAATAAGTGTGATGATTCCCACGCTGAAATTTCAAGTTCTAATCTCTCAATCAAATTAGATCTCCAAATACTGTAAGATTTCTAATCTTACATTTCACTATAAACTAAAAGTCACCTATTACTGATGAATATACTGTCTCTCCTTCTCAACAACCAAGTCCAAGTTATCAGTGTCCAGCTTCGATTTTCAGCATCTCTGGCTATCTTAGGATATCTCTGGATTAAACATAAGTGAGAAGGATGGAGCAAAGAAGGATCTCACATTAACCTGTTCCAGTAGCTAGGGATGGATGGATCTCTTAAAAAAAAAAGACCACATGTACCATCAAGACACTCCAAACACTGAGTGCAGTGGCAGCTAAAGACAAAGATATTCTGCCTAAAAGGAAGACTGACAGCATAAAGCTGGGTCTCAGTAACAATAAACAATAAAATCCAGGGGGAAACAGTGGTTACCTGTGCAATACATTTAAGCAAGGACTTAAAATTAGACAAAAAGATAGGAGACTGGTGATGGGTACAAGGTGAGAACACGAGCAAAGGAATAAGGCAAGAGCTCAGACAACAGGACCAGGAAACATGTTTAGCGTCGATCTGTTCGGTAAGAAATGGCTGCAGGGCTCATTGAGTTTCCAGTGTGGGCTGGCCTGACTCCAGGACGAGGAGTGGAGCTGAGCCTCCAGATGGGCTGAAGGGAACTCGATGGATACTGGATGAATGTGGGGGCAGGGAGGCGGCTGGGCAACACTCCAAATCCATTTGACATGTTTGCTTAAGACTTATTTTTCAAATTTTTAATCATTTTTGGAACTTTTATATATGCTCTTTCTACATCTCCATGTCCTTTCTAAGGAAATGAGGACACTGAGATATGACATAGGAATGAGAAGGACCTTAGGTCTTTATAGCAGAGACCACTTGAAAGCAAAGTTTTCCTGTATCTGAGCTGGAGGACTAGGATTTACATTAAAGTCATCAGAGGCCATTCATACGGCCTTATAAAGCAATCCAATGCTGCTGACGCTGGAAATGGATACTAATTAAATCACATGAAACTAGAAGAGGTTCAAAAAAAGGCAACAGAAGGATCAAGGGATGAATGGACAGCTGTATATGAATGATGAAATGCAGACTTAGGCAGTAAATTCAAGGCTACCAGAACAAAGAAGGTAAAACTTGAAGGCAGAGATAGTTTTCAAATAAATAAAAGAAAGCAAAATTGATGTAGGTAATTTCTACTTCATACCACAATGCATTCTTGGAAATCACAGCACAAAACAGCTTGTATTTTCCCCTAGGAGTAATTCTGTAATTGAATATTGTGTTCCTGAACAAGGTTTGTTTTTCAAATAAATCAGAGATATGATCAACAATATGCTATAAAGGTGAAGACAGAACAATGTTAGGCCGTATAATACTTTAAAATATCATCATTATAGTCCTAGTCCTATAAAATGGGCATAAATGAACAGTACATGTTGATTACACCAGGGGCCCAAATGCACTATAAAACTGTACACACTACACATAATAGTATAACGTTGCTGCCTTATAAATTTGACCTATCTAAAAGTGAACACATGACTAGTTATAATAAGCATGATTTAAATATTTAACCAACAATATTATATTGAGGGCCTTCTTAGAATTCAGATGGGCTATTTTGGAAAGCTAGTACTGGAACTTAAAACTGCCATAATGGAAGGAAGGTCCCTTGAATATCTGTTTTCTTTTTCTTTTTTTTTTTTTTTTTTTACTTTTTTACTTTCTATTCATATCTATCTATCAAGTTGACTATGGTGCTGGTTCTCTTCTAAGCATTTCATAAGTAATAACTGATTTAATCCTCATGACACCGTAATATAGGTGCAATTATTACACTCATTTTACAACCGAGAGGTGAGGCAACTTGTCTGAAGTCACACAGTTGATAAGGGATTCGAGCCCAGGATCCAAACTACTACTCTGTGCTACCTCTCTGGATGATGGCTTTTTCTCTCTGAACTTCTCTGTAACAAACAGAAGCTTTCCAACAACCTCTGAGCTGTGTTCAAAGGTAGGCTCTTTCTTTTCAAGTAATCACTTCAATTCTTCTGGTGAAGACTTGAAGGGAAGAGTCGTACCTTTGGTTCTTGAGTTCACCTTTTCTCCCTTTATTTCCTCCCACCATAGAACACAAAACATTGCCTGGGTCACAAAAATGCAACTTAAAGAGCGTGTCTTGTAAGCGGCTGATTGTGATGCACAAGTCTTCAGCCCCAGGAGGATGGCGCTACCCTAAGAGCATACGCTTTAGGGCTTCGACACCAGTTAAATCACTGTTTTTTCTCCACTTGTACAATGAACTCCTGAATGAAGCAAAGGCCACCCACCACTGTAAGCTTCAGCCACCAAGAATAAAATAACAGGCATCCAATATGTGATGAAAGGTGAAATTCAGAATTTATCAGCCAGCAATAAAGGAAGGGATTGAAAAAAATAAGAAACGGTAAAAGTAGAAACTCCCCAATGTTAGGCACAGATAATTAAAGTCTTAAAGTGCTCGTAAATCTGAGACAGTAGAAACTGAAAATATAAGGATAGACAGGACTCAGAAAAAAAAATTCATTGATTCCTAACTGTTCCGTAAGGAGAGATAAGGAAATGGGAAAACATCTGACTTTGAAATGACAGTCAAATGTGCTCTCCTAAAATTCATGAATGCTTCCATTAAAGATTTTTCTTCAGACACCAATTCTAAATTCTAGACTAGAGTGATGACTGGTGGGACTCCATATGAAACACACCATGACACCAACACATCTCCCCAAACACCCAAATGAAAAGCCACATATTCTTCCAGTGTAAATAAGATTTGAAAATAGGTGTTAAGTTTCTGGTTGGTGTGATAATGTTAGATGTTTTCAATCAGAAAAATTAAATGTTTATTTCCTAGTTCTCTTAAGATTAATTATGAAATGGTTAGATTGCATATAAAAATAATTTTATCTTTTTGTTTTTATTAACGCCCAGTACAAAAAGAGATAAAGGAACAATATGAATGCCTAAGCTCTTTGATAAAGAGATTTAAGTGGTTTCTTTTTAAATTATCTTTTCCTGTCTCACTGAAGTACTAATTTCAATAAATCACCTACCGGCACACTTCAACTATGTTATAAAAGTATACTTTAATCTCCAATTGTACATCCTTAAAATAACTGAATCTCTATTCACCAACAGTTTTGAAGTAACAGAGGTCAATAATGATGACTTTCAACTATGTTTTGCTAAGTTACATGCACACATTATATGTATGTATATATGTATATTCAAAATTACTACTCTATGTGACTTCTCTGAATAACTGCTTATTCTCTCAAAACTTCCCTGTACCAAGTAGAAGCATTCCAATGACATTTGAGTTGTGTTCAAATATATATACACATATGTATCACATGCATACACATGATTATTAGTTATAATATGGCTTTGTGATCATATATAATAATATATAGATTATACATATGTAATATATAATATAGTGATTAAATGTTGGGCAGTTATATTACCATAAATAATTTTAATTAGCCAATTTCTGAAAAGCATGTCAAATTTCTCATTAACAAGAAAGCGTTATACTGGATCTGACTGCCAATTTCATATGCATACATGTAAACACAGGCACAATAAATGTACATAAGCATCTTATTTTTATTGAGAAAAAATTAAACCCCTCATTTTAAAATAAGAGTTAGAGTTTTCAATGTATGTTATCACTGAATAAAGACAAAACATTTACAGGTCCTGGAAAAACCAATTAAAGACAAAGTTTTTTTTTTCTTTTCAGTTTGTTTCCTGTGTAATAATGTATACTCCAAAACATCCTGTCGCTGAAATAGAATGCTATTATAAGGATTAGGAACCTTTTAATGTGTCCCTTCCATTTTCTTCCATGTAACTTAAAACAGATTATAAATCTAATCATCCTTTCAGCAAGATCACTCCCATCAATTTTTTTTGTATCGACTGCCTATTTAAAATTGAATCACATTCTCTATTTTACATCCTTTCTCCTTTGTATTTCTCTAAAGAATCTACATTACTATTTCCATTTAACAGACTCGCTGCGACTTGCAGAACTTTGACATAAGTTAGCCTGCTGGTCCCTCTCCCTGTGGGAGAGTCTGGATATGTACTCAAATAGGACTCCGGACTTAGTGTAAAGGTTCAAGAACCAGTTTCTTTTTGTAGAAAATGTTATTTCAGGATGGGCAAAAAGCATTTTCAAGAGTTCATTCTCTCCTTTGTATGTGTGTGTGTGTCTGTGTGTGTGTGTGTGTGTGTGTGTGTGTGTGCACAGAGAATGGAATGGGATAGGCTAGGACAGGGCAGGATAGGACAGAACAGAACAGGATACTGTGTGGTAAGGAGGGGCAGGAGGGTGGTTTGCAATCACATTCACTTCCCCAGATATCTGGATGGGTGTCCAGCCTGTGAGGTGTCATTGCAGTCTTTTATTATAGAAGTTCACCACTGACACTTATCAATATTAACACAATAATATAAGAAGGTGTCAAAAGTAGGAAAAACTTTAAAAATGAGTTACTTGAGTTCTTAACTATTGTCAAACAGAGAAAAGAATTTATATCATCCCACAAATGGTAAGCAGCAGTGG